CTGCGCCGGGGGGGGAACGAGACCGTGAGGCCAAGGCTGGGCCCGAGCCCCTGGCGCCCGCGCCCGCGCCCGCGCCCCCTCCCCTAGACGCCGCTCATGGGCCGTACCTACCTCCTCTGCCCGACATGGCGCCGCCCGCGCTGGCCGCTGCCCCGGAAGTACAATCACGTCGTCGCGGGAACTGCAGCGGCTTTCGTTCTCGTCACTTCCGGCGGCGCTGGGCCGTTTCCGTTCTCGCTTCCGGGCTCCGGGACCCAGCGGGCTGGGTGAGCGGCGGGTGCCGGGGAAGCCTGGGCTGACGGCGCGCCGGTTTCGGATCCTTGTCGGAGGGCCCGGCCCGGCTCGGCCGGTTGGCTGCGGTCGGAGCGCGGCTCTCGGCCGCCCCCACCTCGCTGTAAGCTCGGGGCAGGCGCCGAGTGCCGGTCCCAGGCGCTCTGCACCCGCCCCGCCGCTAAGCCGGGCCGAGGGCAGCTCCAGCCCGGCCCTTGCTCTCACACGCCGCTCGTGGAAAGGGGAGGGGCGGTGCGCCCGGCTGCCTCCGGCTCTGGGGCGAGCAGGTGGCGCTGGACTGCAAAGGGCTGTGGCATCGCCTGCGCTGCTGCACCCCTGCAAGACACCAGCAGCCACTCTGGGTGCCACCGCACTGGTGGAGAACGCGGGTGTAACTGCTGAAGCATCTTGTTTCTCAGCTAAAACTGTTCTTTACAACACGGCTGATGCTATTTATTATTAGTTTAAAAGACCCAAACAGCTCTGCAACTGCGTACACCTCTGGAGGGAGCATGCAGCCGTTGGGTTTGTTGAGACACAAAGTCTTCAGGGGGCAAGTGTGCATGGGGCAATGAGAGACTGTCATTTACCAAACTGGAAGACAAAACCAAACTGCAATTACAGAGAAAAGTCACGACAGGACATTTTAAAAAGTGCAGGAATTGTTACCAGTAAAAATTTTCAAACTGTTAATAGGCAACCTTGATTGCAGATTCACTGTTGGGACTCTTCATGATCTTGGTGATTGATCTCCGATTTAATTTTTCCAAATAATCTCATCAGGAGAAGTTGCGGGGTCCCAAGTTTTGCACTTGCATGGTTTGACATCTATCCATTCTGCATGTGTTTTCCCCCACATCAGCACTTGATTTCTAGAGGACAGGGTTATGTTCCCTCTTACCCATCCCTTTCTTTCTCAGGGTCAGTAGCAACAAAGTAAAGGTGCTATGCTCAAGTATGGAAGTATAGCAAACATCTGTAGGTAAATCCATGTGTTAATCATTCTGTGCTTGTGTGCTATGCTACATTGTGACCATCGCTACAAGCACTGATTTTTGGGCTAGTTTCAAGGCCTATTGACAAAATTAGTAATCAGGAGACACGATAAGAGTACTGACATATGTCAGGAAGGCAAAAATGCGTGGTAGAACGGTCATCCATAAACCTTTCAGGCGAGTCCCCTGGGAAGTTTCCAAGCATAGTATAGATAAGTAACAAGTGGTTGTGTCATTGTTAATTTGAGACTTTTGCTTTTAAACCAATGCATGCACAACTTTATGTGCCTATAAGTTTAAGAGGGAAACATCTTCCTTTCCTGTTGGTTCTTTGCAGTGACTGGATTCAAGGTGTGGTCCAATGAGGTACAATGGTACCATAGCCTCAGTGCGCTATGGCACGCAGTATCGCCATTCTTTTACACTGGGGAGCCATAGAATGAATTTACATGTAGTGAGGACTTTCTGCTCTCCAGCATCTAAGAGGCCTGAGACTAAGACTCCAGTGGAAATGGTGGTGAAAATCTTTCATCAGCTAACAGAAGTTGGGAAAGTAATGGGAAGAAACTCTCTCCAAAGACTCTCCACAACAGTCAAAAGCTGGTGGGACAGATATGAAGAGTTTGTTGGTCTTAATGAAGTTCGAGGGGCTCAGGGAAAAGTAACCGAGGTAATTGCTTGGCATTGTTAATACTTGGAGAATAATATAGAAACCTGTAAATAAAGACATAGGTTGTCCTGTTGAGCTGTCAAACATATGGCCTGTGGGCTGGATACAGCTCATGGAGATGGGTCATCCTGGCCACTGTCTTTCCCCGGGCTGTGTCACCATGGCCAGTGTGCAGCATCCAGATAGGCAGGGTTTCTCACGGAGTGGGGTTGGGAGCAGGAGTTGACTGCTTGTGGGGGTCATATGCCTTGGTCCCCTTGTCAGCTTCCTGCTGCTATGGGGGGAGATGTCAGTGCAGCCACCAACTGAATTTACCATTCCTCATTGCTGCTGGCCATGGGATTCTGCAGCGATGTGGACCAGGAATTTCAGTCACACCAGTACCTTCCCCTCCCACAGCATAAGGCTGACGATGGGACTGTGAGGTCCGCTGCAGGCAGAGCATGTGTCCTGCCAACAAATTTCAGTTTGTTCCTTGTCTAAAGCATAGATTGTAGCTTTAAGACAAAGTAATATTGGAAATATTGGACTCGCCAACTAAAGGTCAGAAAAGAAGCAACAATATATCTACTCAGGAAATTAGGTAAAGCTAGATAATTGGTTCATGTCAGTGCTAATGACAGCCTGTGGGTTTTTCCTCTTCAGGCTGAAAAGGTGTTCATGGTAGCACGAGGAATTGTACGAGAGGCGCGCGAGAACGTCGAAGCCCAGCAAATCAAACTGAAGGAGGTTCGGGACCGTTTAGATCGAGTCTCTCGGGAAGACATTCAGTACTTAGAACTGGCTACCCTGGAACACAGATTGCTGCAGGTAAGGGAGATGCCAGGATTGATGCTTGGGGACTTTGGGTTAGTATGGGGAAAATCCCTGTCCCTTGCTTTTACTGGTTATTTTGCAGCTAGGTTTCAGTGAAGGCCAGAAGTGTCATACTAGGTCAGGTCTGTCTATGGTGGCAGTCGTAGATGCTTTAGAGCAGGGATGGGGAACCTCCGAGCCGGGGACTCCATTTCCCAGCTGCCCGTGCCTGTGTGGCTTGTGCCGGCCTCCATGGAGACCCCAGCCTCAGCCATGCGGGCAGAGCAGGTGGCAAAGCAGTGCAGGGGGCTGCTCCAGAGCTGCTGAGATCTTGTGGCAGGGGCAGCTTGCTCCGGAGTCAGGGCAGAGGTGCAATCTGGGGCCTGCATGCTCCGGGCAGGGGTATGCATGCAGGGGATCGTGGCTCTGCCCCGGCTCCAGACAGGCTGTCACTGCTGCAAGGAGCCAGGGCAGAGCCATGATCCCTTGCATGCATGCCCCTGCACAGAGCGAGCAAGCTACAGATCGTGGCTCTGCCCTGGCTCTGGAGCAAGCTTCCCCCACCGCAAGATCCCAGCAGCCCCCTGCACTGCTCTGCTGCGCACACTGCCAGTGTGGCTAAGGCTGTAGTCTCCACGGAGACCGGCACAAACCATGCAGGCAGGGGCGGCGGGGAAATGGAGTCCCCAGCCGACCGCATCCGGCCTGCGGGCCAGACGTTCCCCATCCCTGCTTTAGAGGGAGAATATATGAACAGGGCATGGCTAGAGTGATCCATTCCTGGCATCTACCGTCATTGGTTCAGGGACATCAAAGGCACATGCATGACTTTTCTGTTTAATAACTTTATCCTCTGTGGATTTGTCTTTTTTTGCACTTAGTTATATACCTGCTGCTACAACCCTCTGTGGTAGCAAGTTCTATAAATTTACTATGTGATTTATAAAGAACACACTTCTCTTTGTTTATTTTTAGTTCTGTCTCCTTTTATTTTCAATAGGTCGTCTCTGTTCTTGTCTTGTGGGACTTTGGTAATTAAAGTTCCCTATTAACTTAATCAGTGCCCTTCATGATCTAATAGGCAGTTATCACATCCCCCTCAGCTATCTTCTTTCTAAGCTGAAGAGTTCTAGCCTTTTTGGTCTCTTCTGGTATGACAGCTGCTCCATATCCATGATCATCCTTGTTGCCCTTCTCTGTGCCTTTTCTAATCCCACTGCATTCTTTTTGAGTTTTGGAAGTACAGTGGACTAAGTTTATTTCTAATGCCATTAACTTCATTGAAGCTATGTCTAGGATGATTTTGGTCTGCTCTGCAGCAAAGAGTTGGATCTTATAGCTTAGGGTTCAGTTAGGTTAGTACAGCCATTGGAGAAGGAAACGCCTGACTTGCCTACAGAGGTGGAAGTAGGGGCAAGAGTATGACCTGTGAATCTGGGATTCAGCACGCAAACCTAGAATCAAATATGTTTTTAAAGACAGAGGTTAGCTTGAGTAGTTGATCTGCTAACCAGGCTGGTATTAGGTAGAAGGCCACCTTCATCTTTCTCTGCACCTAGGACTGAGTCCTTTCCCAACAGAGTAATCATGATAAGTCTTCCTGCTTCCCCCTGTCTGGTGGCAAAACTCACCTTACAAAAGGCTGCACAAACTCACAAATGACTACCTACCCTGTGTGGGTGAGGTTATCAAAAGGTGGAGCTGAAGCAAACCTTTACAAATGATGATATGAGAGGACTTCTTCTACTTAGGTCACCACAAAAATGATTAAAGGTAGGGGTTCTAATGGGTGGGTGAAGTGTGTGTCATTTGAGACCCTTTGACAAACATGACTCTCTCTACATGACTGTCTTGGTGGCATAGACTCAGAGTTGTTGCCTCTGTCTATGTAAATACTAAGGTCTAACTGTTATGTAAAGTGTACAAATAGGGGACAAGGCTGAGAGAGATGTATCCTGAGTTTCACAGCATGTTTTCAAGCCTACGTAGTCCAGTAGACTTCCGTGCACATTAAGCAAGGAATTTAACCTCTTGGTATCTTGATCGTCCCAGAGCATATCTGACACTGCAATTTCTGAGTCTTCTGCAATGGATTTTATATATCATGTGGTTGTGGAGTCTGTACGTGTGCTGTTTAGCATGATTCGATAGCAGGGGTTGGCAACGTTTTTGGACAGAATGCCAAAAACACCCACAACCTCGACTTGTAAGATCTTAGTGTGCCGGGGGTCAGACAGCTGGGGAGCTGCAAGGGGCCCAATCCTTGTTGGGTGAGGGCAGCAGAGCCCTGGCCCCTTCCCCACCATCCGGCCCAAGCCTCACACATGCCAAGCAGAATGCCTTTGTGTGCCATGCTCTGGCACCCAGACGGGGGTGGGGGGTGGGTTGTCTACCCCTGTTCTATAGGTTAGGGTTCTGACCCACCTTTCTCCCTACCCACCTTCTTCAGGTCAGCCAATGAATGCATTCCTGCACAAAATTGATGGTTACTTAGTACCCATATTGAAAGGCCAGTTTTTTACTACACCAAGTCCTCAAATCAACAAATAAGTGCCAGTAAGAGAACACCCATTTTGCATTATGCAAGAGGGCTATTAGGAGGGAGGGACAAACACACTCTGTGCTCAGCAAAGGCTAAGTACACCATACTAAGAGAAGGCAGGCTGTCAGGAGGTGGCTATGGCTTCCAGATTCTCTGTCATAGCGATGGTGCTAGTTTAGGGGCTGCTGTTGTTTGTGCGAACCATCAGTAATCCCTGATGGATCATCTGCTACCTGTGCTGTGAAGACACAGTGCTGCTCAGTCACTTCCCTGCTCTGCCTGTCCCAGCAAACCCTGAAAGAGGATAACAGGGGAAGGTATATGTAATTGCATCATCTATTTGCCATCTGGGGACTCACTTTTTACATGGGTATGTCAAGACAAATAACAGCAAACAGTTTGCTGCCTCTTTTTGAGCAGTAAGGCAGATAATCTGGCTCTGCATTTATAAGCAGCTGGATAAGTGCTGAGTAAAAGAACTAGTTAGAAGTAAGACTTGAACTTGAGAAGTAATGTGACCTTTTTGTGGGCAGTAACAACACCCCTGCAGCCACTGCCATTTCCTTTTGGGCTTTTTTTTAACCTTTGGAAGCTTTATTATGATTTTTAAAGTTGAGACCAGTGATTCTCAGGTGAGGTAGGTAGCATTCTTTTGCTGCGTTCCATGAGATCCTTTTAAGGGTGCCATGGGGTGTGAGGAGGTAAGAGTTTGCTCATTCCTGCCTGGCCCCTATGCAAGGAGGTAAGCACTGTAATAAGTAAATTAGGTTTTGAAATGGGGTACTGCTATATTAAAGTTGTGGAGGGGTTCTCTACCTGTTAGACTGTGCTGAAATGCACGTTTAAGGCAGTGATCAAGCACAGGCATCTAACAGGAAATTCTGTTACACATGTGAAAACTTTGCAGTGCTTTAAAGCTACTTGTCTTAAAAAAGTAACCCTTCCAAGTCTCCTTATGTTTTCAATTTCATTGAGATGCACAAAATGAGCTAAGATTAATCTAAGTTAGTAGGAGTGTTGCCAGCAGGTTAAGGGAAGCGATTCTCTCCTTCTATTTAGCACTGGGGAGGCAACATCTAGAGTTCCGTGTCCAGTTCTGGGCTCCCCACTACAGAAAGGAAGCTAGATAGAGTCCAGAGGAGGGGAATGAAAATGGTTGGGGAGCTGGGGCACATGACTAGTGAGAAGAGGTGGAAGGAAATGGGCTTAATGAGTCTGGAAAAGAGAAGATGGGGGGGGGGCGCACTTTAATTTCAACTCCCTGCAGGGTGGTTCCAAAAAGGATGGAGCTGGATTTTTCTCAGTGGGGGCGGATGACAGGACAAGCTCAAGTTGCAGCAAAGAAAGTTGAGGCTAGATATTAGGAAAAGCTCTCTGACTAGGAGGGTAGTAAAACACGGGAATAGGCTCCCCAGAGAGGTTTTGGAGTCTTCATCCTTGGAGGTGTTTAAGACCAGGTTAGATAAAGCCTTGGCTGGGATGATGTAGTTGAGGCTGGTCTGCTTTGAGGAGGGGGTTGGACTAGATGTGACCTCCTGAAGTCCCTTCCAACCCTAACTTTCTCTGATTACAAAAGTATAGAACTACACATGGAGAAAAGTTCCAGTCAGAACATGTGAAGAAAGCAGTGGTTGTGTTTTCTTAAATATATGTATAAACTCAGAAAAAAGGGCTGGATTTTGCTTGACTGGGATCAAACATAGAACATTCTTACAAAGTTGAAATTTGTTTAAGGAAGTTATCAGCAGCTGCATAGAGTGGGAGGAATTAACATTTATATCGGTTGACACCACTGCAAGCAGTTGCTTAGTGGTAAATGCTGGTATTCTCATTGTACTGGATTTTAAAACCCAATTTCCATGCTCGGTATCTACTCTGAAGTCAGTTTGGGGGAAGTTTAAACGCAATGCATTTTTGCTTTAAGCAAGGGGTAAAACAGTGCAGTACTTTTCCCAGGTAAAAGATTAGTCTTTTTTTCTTTTTTCCTGCACGTGTATAATGCAAAAGTGAATTCAATTCCTATATGTTAGATTACCTTAGCAGTGGTCCTAGCTTAACACATACTCGCATTATTGCCTCCATTTTCAGTTGCTCATAACTCTGAGATTTTCACATTTTTGTCTTTGTTTTTGTCTTTGAACCTTAAGGTGAAAAATTCTAGTGACTATAGCAACTATATGCATAGCTAAAGCAGCAGGGTCCTAAAAGGGAGAATCTGACAACTGAACTTGAGGAACCTTTTTTTTGTTTGTTTCAGCAGAACTGTTAGGGTGTGCTTTAAAATGGCTTTGTCACCTTGTCATTCAGGTAACTGGACTTATGCTGGAAAACACTAACTGGACACATGCAAGCAGCTAATTAAATTGCGGGTCAGAGCTTGCTTGCATGAAGGGGCAAGGTACCCCCATACACTGCCAGTGTGTAGAATCAGGGCCGTAATTATCTACATGTGCATCCTCAGCCAAA